TATTTAAACCCCATCTTTCGCCCTGTTGGGAATTCTATGATATGATGTGAAAAATATGAACAATGCTTGTGCAATACAGATTGGTTGTTGCATTTTTAAAAAAGAGCCATGTGACCTTGATACCAGAAAAGCAGCTGCAGAGGTTTTCCATTCCTGCGGCTGTGCATTAGATGCTAGCCATATACCTTGGCCTACCGTTCCACACTCAGCATTGTTGATGCCAAAGTGCATGAATACACATTTTTGCACAGGGGGTGAGGAAATCAAAATGAAATTGCAGTAATTTTCCAAATGGTTTATTTCTGGACAAAAACAACCTGCAGCCAGCCTTCCAATGATACTGTGTGAAAACCAGAGAGAACAAACATGGGTAATCTCGTGGCAAGACAACATAAAACTATTGTGTAAAAACTCTTGCAAAACTTCCAGCGCTATCCCTGCCTTCAGTTCTAATTACAGGTTTTCCATAATGACTGTTTCTGCCCATAAAAAGTAGACTTCAGAGGCTTAATCAAAAGATGACAGAAAACCAAAAACTGGGGTATCTCATCTCCTGTCCTAGGTGCCATGCTAGCCTACCATGCAAAAGAATATCAAGAACTCCTACATTCTCATTAAAAATAAAAAAAAATACAAAGCACGTTTGAATTTGCTACAGTTTCCACAGCAAGACTGTTGTACAAGAGTGATCCCTTTGGCACCCTTTCCCAGATGCCTTAACATTCATATTGTGGCATTTCCACCAGTTTCTCTAAAAAACAAGTGAAAGACATCTAGTAAAGTACATTCTATTTACTTCCATATTAGCATATGGAGGATAAATGTGCTTTTACTCCAAGAGGCAGAAAATTCTGATGTGACTAATGTGACATTCTGCTGCTTCCTTTCCTGTAATTGTGCTGAGAGAGAGAGGTGAAAAGTTATAGAGAAGATGGAGATATTGCTGATTCAGGGTTTTTGAAAAAGGAATCTTTGTAAGCATTTTCAATAAAGCAACAACATTTCATTTCTCAACAATTAAGAGCATCTGCAGAGCAAACAAAAAGTGTATCAGATTAGAAAAGGTGAGGCTTTTAAGACAGCAACTCTATGTCCAGTTTCTTACAAGTCAGCTACAGTCAGCTCAGAGGGACTTGCCACCAACAGCCGTACATTAGTGAGATGGGCATTATTTGACCTTGGGGGCAGAGCAGCCTATTGAAAAAACAGGTTATGCCTTCTTGCAAGAACATCCTTGAAGTGTAAAGTCAATAAATATGGACATCCATAATTTGAGACTGTAACATTACTATATAACCCTCTCAATTTTCAGTGTGGCGAAAAGTATTTGGTTCTGAATACTGCGATTTGTCTGTAATATCAGCTAAAAAAGATTTATCAACAATGCACCAGGTTTACAAAGGTTGATGTAACCTCACAATGTGTTACATCTTCATGATTTAATGTGTGTCACTATTCCAGTATTGGCACAATAGTACAGATCCACACTAGGAACAGATAAATGCAAGTTTAAATCCTCAATGAGGTATAAGGCACCCTCAGTGACCTCGGCTAGCGACTTTATTTCACCCTAACCAATCTAATTCATAGGACTTCCAGGTCAGCATCAACCTGACAGCATGTAACAATAGGACATCTCAAATGTTTTAAATAAAAACAGAGGGAAGGACACTGTGCAGGCTACCATGAACTCCTTTTGAGAAAAGATGGAATCACTATTTATAGATTGCATGAATGGGTGTTGGGGCACAATGGAGTAAGAAGACTAACACTCAGATAAGCTATTTTTACTGACAGGCATATCCCAAGTTTTTAAAAATCTTATATTGTTGGCTATGGATCACCTTTGACTACCACATAAAATTTACTATTGTTAATATGCTGTTTATGAGTAAAGAATTATATTAATTTGGTATTGAAAATGGAAAAAGTGAAGTTGTTAAAGATTTTGCATGCATATCTTGGTTCAATCATCAAACCAGCCAGTAAAACAGAAGAAGATTACCATAATACCTGCCAATATGGCAGAGTAATTTTAATGCCACACTAAGGGCAACTATGAAGGAACTAGAAAAGTTCTTTAAAGGGAAAGGGTATGTGATTGGTGACCAAGGTAAAGATAACCTATACTATAATATTCCTGATTATTATGTATGAATATGAAAGCTAGACAGTGAAGAAAACTGACAAGAAAATTGATAAATGTAAAATCAGGGTGGGTTTGATTTAAATCAAATTCATTTAAATCATAACTTAATTTTTTAAAAATCAAACTTTTTATTTAAATTGTGATTTAAATGAATTTGATTTTTTTAAAAAAATTTGATTTTTATACACCCTGTTTAAAATAAAATTTGATTTTTATTTTGTGCTAGGTCAAATTGTGCCTTAACTCTTTCTAGACGCAGAAATAACTAAACTAAGGTACATAATGAGAACACGGCTCCCTGGAAAGACAATGATGCTAAGAAAAGTTGAAGGCAGCAGGAAAACAGGAACATCAAACATGAGATAGACTGACTCAGTAAAGGAAGGCATGGCCTTGAGTCTACAAGAGGCATGCAAGACTTTTAAGAACACAGACATTTGGAAATCACAAATTCATATGGTTGCCATGGGACAGAACGGACTTGATGGCACATAACAGTAACAAATAAAATCTGGGAACCAAATACTCCCAAAGGAATGAAAGAATCCCATAGCTAACAAAGACTAATGCTCATTATTGTATAAGCTTTTGAGCTTTGAAACATTCTTGCTAAAATAAACTTGTTAGCTTTAAGGTACTGCATGAATATTGGTTTTAATACAAGAGATCAATTCATCTGAACTCTTTGGAAACAACAGTTTCTTTTTTTCTTTTTTAACAGGATGTGCATAGGAGCAGTAACAGTTGTGGTGTAGTGCCTATTTTATTCTTCCTTCCCATTTAAACAGCAAAGAAGAAAGCAGCTAACTTCTCAGTCGGTGTAATATTCTTGAAATCCAGCAGCAGCTCAACAGACCATTGTTCTGAAGCCTTTTGCGAAGCAGTTGTCCTGTCCCTAAAAAGCCATTTACAAGGAAGCAACAAAGCCTAGCAGTAAGAAAGTGTGTCATTTTAACAATACCAAAGTCTGCAAACGCCTTAGTTACTTTGATTTTGGCAATAGCTCTGTTGAGTATCTCTTGGTAAGGCTTTTCTAAAATTGTGCTGACTGTTTCACAGGCTTCTTTCATCCTTTCTGATATTACAATATTTTTCTCTCCTTCCAGCTGCAAATTGCATAACCGTTGTCTCATGTAATCTCACCACTTCATCTTACCAAAGGTGTGTGAGTCTTAAAACTTAACATGCATCCCACTGGAGAGAAAAATACAAAATCACACTCAATGGCTATTAAGAGTACATACGGTTTGTAGGGGAGGGAAGCAAATCCTAGTGTTAAGATGCCATTTTTGAACTCGCAGCTTCACAACAGGTAGAAATGTAACAGATGGAGCTTTTTGTGGAATGGACAAAGTATCCTGCTTAGTCTGCCTTCATATCAAGAGGAGTTATATTTACTTAATTTTTCCTGCTATGCAATGGAAAGACAGTGTGGAGCTTCCCGTAGAAACCTTTTCTATGAGAAATTCTGAGGCAGGATTTCTCAATCTTCCCCTGCTTTTCAGAATTCCCTTTTGGGTATCTATATAGAGCATGCCTTGTGAAGCAAGATGTTTTATCCATTGAAAAACAATTTTTTCTCCCAGCCCTTTCCCCTCATGATACCTCAGAAAACCTTATAGGTATCGTTGGAGAAGCCACACCTTTCCGTATGAGAATTCTGTGAACAAACAAGAGGGGAAGCCAACAGAATGGGGCAGAAATGTCCCCCACCCTGTCAGTAAGGGACACACAGGTCTCTAAGACAGAGAGGAATATTAGTCATTGTTTGTGATTTTACTGTAGAAGCAAAGTTATTAGTACCTCCCTATACATCCATGAATGCCCCACATAAATTTGGATTTCCGGATGAATTAATCCTCTGTTACTACCCCCAGGGCACCATGCTCTAAAACATCCGTTACTGTAAAAGAAACACTGGCAGTAGTATCAAAGACAGACAAAAGAAATTACATATTCACACTTGTTCACATACTGTACATCAGTTTATGGAACTGGATGCTACCAATGGAGGTAGAAGCTGCCACCTTAAATAGCTTTAAGAGCAGGTCAGACAAATTCACAAAGCATGGAGCTGTCAGTGGTTACTAATCAGAGAGAACCAGACCTTCAGTGTTCAGAGGCAGGATGCCTCCGCCAGTTTCGGGGAGGGGGGGCGTGCTCAAAGGGGCTGGAAGTGTTATTTCTTTTGGGCTTCCTGGGTGCATCTGTTTGGCCACCGAAGGGGAGGAGAGGACAGGACGTGGGGCCAGAGGTATGGTCTGTCTGATCCGACAAGGCTCTTCTCACTTTCCAGTAGAGGTGGGGAAATCTGCACCGCAGAACATCAGATTCCCCCGCCCTAAGGTTACAGTTTATCCATGTTAAGGAGCGCATATCGATCTCTGCTTTCGCCGCACTATCTGAACCCCACCCCCACCCTTTATGGAGCCCCTAGAAGCTGTCCTGATTTGATTGAAATCCCCCGTTCACCCGTCCGCCCTCCCACCCACGACCCATTTTCACATCTCCAAAGTAACCGAGAGCAGCACCAGCAGCAGGTTGCGGGGAATTAATGGGTCGTTTGTCCATAAAAAAGTAGCCGTCGCGGGATGAGAGCAAGGGCGTTCGCCTCGGAAGCTCTCTCTCCCTCTCTGTCTCTCTCTCTCGGATCCCAAAGCGCGGGAGCAACATGCCGATGCGGCTGAGAGCAAGCCCTCCACCCGTCTTTCGCAGCC